CTACTGAGTAATTGAAAATTTTCATCGTTGAAATTCTATTGTTTTTTGCAGCCACTGAAAGATTTGGTTTTATGTCCGCCCGGGGCTTGCAGTGTCTGCAATGGAAAACACTGTCATGCAGATTGGGGGGTCTCGCAAAGGAAGACACGGTGCTTGGCTGCCCTTGTCTATGTGGATAGAGGATGAGGGGAAAAAGATGGGAGCTAGTACTGTGCCTTTTGGAACGAGCTTTTCACCGTGCTGCCTCGGACTTTTCTGTTGACGATCTTCTTGTTGTTTGTAGGAAATTAAGATCCATCGACCGACTTTTCCTTTATTCCTTTTGCGCGCATTTTTCGCTTTACGCCCTGGTCACATTGTCGAAGGCTTTTGCAAAGTTGTATAATTCTCTGATTCTTTTTGTCTTCTAGTGCATTTAGGGACCTTGTCGTAGTGATCCCGTAGTTGAGACAGACAGGAGCGACCGTTCTAAACAGGGCTCCTGTTTCCAAATACTGGGCATATGTTCAAACTTTCCCAAATCTTTTGTTTCATAGGGATGATTTCTGTGTGCAACTCGGACCCGTCCCTCTTAGATTTTCCCGGTGGATTATGATGCATCTCTCTTCCCGCCTCCAGTGAGTAAAAATCAAGTGCTTCCAAGTGTCCCCGAGTTAAGGTGTTTGATAGAATGAATGTGCAGTACAGTATCTCTTAATTCTCTACATCTGCAATTCACCTGCTACCTCCCGGAAAAAAGTCATGACCCCCTAAGGGGAGATGGGGCCGCATTTTAAGACATTTTTTTTATGAACCCATTTCCTTTTTTTTGGTTATATTTGAAGGTTTTTTGAGTATGCTGTGCTGAAGTTTCAATCAATCGGCCAAAAAGGAAAGAATATCAAAAATTTACGAAAAATTTTCTTTGGGGTACAAAATTTTTCAGTGTACTTGCCTTGTGCTGCTAGAAAACTTTAAATTTCCCTCATTTTCGTTTAATTTTAAAAAAAAACCCTTTTCTTCATGCAAAAAAAAATAAATTTTTATAATTTTTTTGATATATTTGGGAAAATGTCGGCCTTTTTGTCCACATAAATCTAAAAATATTTTGGATAGTTCGGAAACACGAACGCTACCTCGTAAAACAATCATTCTCCTATGTTTGTTGTGAGAAATAAAGTCAATTCAATCATAAATAAAGGTGATGTTCCCCTAAATAGGTAAATAAGTTACTTTCGAGATATAGGCCGCAGCGCGCGGCACCCCCGCTGCCCGGGAAAAAATTTTTTCCCCGAAAAATTCGCTTTATTTTACACTTTTTCCGCGGCCTACGAGTGTTTTCTCTCATCACTGATGAGAGAGGTCGGACCCTCTCTTCACCTTCAGGGGAAATATCGATAGAAATTTATTCCTTGGGGCGTCATATTATGCTATATATTTTTTTTTGAGGTGTACTTTTTATGTTTATATGCTATTATTATATTGCATTATATCATAATAGATCAATTGTGATAGATAAATAAGCCTTATAATTGATATTAGCGTGGGTATGGAATATTTTGTTGGCTGGAGGTGTCGGCCATTTTGTGCACTATTCCCAGGGGTTCCCGATTGGTGCCGTGACCATATTAGTTCCGCACGCTCGGGAATGATCTCAGATGGTGAATTTGTATTATATTAGATATAAAGATATACGAAAACGATAAAAATAACACGGGGAAAAACGTAACAAAAACGTCAACAAAGCTGAGTCAGCGCTTCTTACGCAATATGTTGCGTCAGCGCTGTCACCATGCCTGTTATAAATGGCGGTAATTCCTGGGGCTCTGGTGGCTTGGTGGTTAACGCTCTCGCTTCACACGGCGAGGGTCTGGGTTCGATTCCCAGCCAGAGTAGAAACATTGGACGTGTTTCTTTCCACCTGTTGTCTATGTTCCCCATCAGTAAAATGGGTACCTGGGTGTTAGTCGACTGGTGTGGGTCGCCTCCTGGGACACTGACCTAATTTGCCCGAAATGCAGAGCATAACAAGGGAGTTTCTATATAGTAGTATGTCATTGTTGTCAGCTAGGACTGTATACCTTGTACATGTACTTGTAGTAAATAAAGATATTATTATTATTATTATTTTAGAAACATCGTACAAGGATAATAATTATACCAGCGTGTAGCCAGAAAGTTCAGCTATTTTTTGGTAACAATAACTCAGTTTTCATATATTTTCGAATTTTTTTTTGCTCCGCGCGCGGGAACCCTGAATCTCCTCCCAGTCCCTGGAAAAGTTGAACACAGAAACATACAAGATCTGTATAAAATATGTACCATTGAGGAAACCTAGAATGCTTGGTATTCTTAAGTGAAATACCAGAGAGCTGAAAGAGTCCAGACATTGGTCCTTTACATAAGGCAGGTAGTAGAGTGTACCCAGTACAGTAGCCTAATATTGGTCCTTTACATAAGGCAGGTAGTAGAGTGCTAGCCAGTACCAGTAGCCCTAACATTGGTCCTTACTAAGCAGTGTAGAGTGTAGCCAGTACCAGTAGCCTAACATTGGTCCTTACAAAGGGCAGGTAGTAGAGTGCTAGCCAGTCCCCAGTTAGCCCTAACTTTGGTCCTTTACATAAGGCAGGTAGTAAGAGTGCTAGCCAGAAACCAGTAGCCCTAACATCCCACTTCATAAAGTCTTGAAAGAAGGGATGCCAGATTTATAAAACAACACAATCTGCAACAGTTCTGAACCATGCTGGAAGATCATGCTTGTCAAAAACTGCTCAACCACTCTGATAGAATTACAGAGGTGTTGGTTTTAGAAAATCAAAATGCAGATGTGATGCACACAGATTTTGCAAAGGCATTTGACAAATGCAATCTGGGGTGATTGCACACAAAATGTGGGCCATAGGCATAATGGGGAAGGTAGGCAGATGGTTTTCAAGTTTCTAACTTTAGAACAACACAGAGGAGTAAACAGCAAAATCAGCATAAGCAAAGTATAAAGCTTGGTACTCCAAAGGCATTGTCCTGGACAAGTATCTTTTCCCGGTGCCAGATCAGCAAGGCTGTCATGGATATGTGGGCCAGTGGGACTGCCAGCAGCAATAGCTTGGTTTGTGTGCTGCTGATCTATTTTACTCCCTCCTCTCCTTTTCGTCAGTGTGACTTTTATAAATGGTCCAAGTCAGACCGAAACGTCGTCGTAAGCTCCTCCCCTTTTATGTGCGGGATATTGTGTAACAGCTTGGTTGAGCAGGCAAGGATCAGACAAGCCTGGCCTAGGGCTGGGCTCCAGTAGAAAAAACTCTTGAAATGAAATTTGTTATGTCAAAAGAAAATTTCTTTTTCTTGGGTCACTCCTAACCAAGTGGAAAATAGCCAATGAGTTTTTTTTAACATATTGGTTGTAATACAGGAGCAGTATATTACAGTACTGTATAACAGATATGGTAAAAATATCTTATGATTCACTAAGGAATTCATTTATAACAATTCAAGGGGGGTGCTTTGATGCCCTAAAGTGCTTTATAACTCCTATGGTTTTAGTGCTTTCAAAAGAATATAATGATAATTTATGACGTTTAAGTGTTGTGCAGTTTTAACGTGGAAATAAAATGTGATTCTTAACAGGCATTGATGATGGTTATGACATTGAACATGAGATGTTGGAGGGAATGTATCAGCGTATCAAGGCACAAGAGTTTCCACCAGGTCATGATCACGTTACTCAAGTTTTAAAGGTAATTGTACAAGTGTTTCAGCCATTTTCATAAATCTTAGTGTCTAAGCATATATTTGTTAAACCTTAATTTTACTTCAAAGGTTTATGATCAATGTTCCAAGTCAGTTATAACAATTTGTTCTACCATTGTAAGTTACTGGCAATTTTTTAATGGTGTCCAGGTTTGAGCACAAGCATTCAATGTCTTGTGAAGTAACAATGAGATAATTGTAAACAGCTCACCCAATGGAAGGTTTGAACATATGGCAAGCTAGTGCTAACACTAGGAGGCCAGTGTGTTATTCTATGTACTATGCTCTCATAAGTTGCATGGTACAGCAGCTAGAATACTGGCCTGCTAGTTTTAGGACTGGTTTGCCATGTGGTTTGAACTCTGGTGAGTTGTGCATAACTGTCATAATTTTGCAGGTCATTCATAGTGGTTTTGAAGGGACTTAATAGAGCCTTGCTGGTGTGAGGTTCACCTGTAGAAATACACTTAGTTGGGCAAATCTTAAGTGACCAGTGTAGTACAGTGGGGACAGCTCACTGGTCTGCTAGTTGGAGAATTGGCTTGCCATTAATTTGGGCCTTCCATTAGGGAAGAATAAACACTTAGTGTAACAAACTAATCTTCTGTTTTAAAAAGTTTTAAATATATGTTCTTGCTTTAAGTAGACTTCTTTCAACAAACCGGCCATATCCCACCGAGGCAGGGTGGCCCAAAAAGAAAAACGAGTTTCTCTTTTCAAATTTAGTAATTTATACAGGAGAAGGGGTTACTAGCCCCTTGCTCCCGGCATTGTAGTCGCCTCTTAAATACGCATGGCTTACGGAGGAAGAATTCTGTTCCACTTCCCCATGGAGATAAGAGGAAATAAACAGGAACAAGAACTAGAAAGAAAATAGAAAACCCAGAGGGGTGTGTATATATATGCTTATACATGTATGTGTAGTGTGATCTAAGTGTAAGTAGAAGTAGCAAGACGTACCTGAAATCTTGCATGTTTATGAGACAGAAAAAAGGACACCAGCAATCCTACCATCATGTAAAACAATTACAGGCTTTCATTTTACACTCACTTGGCAGGACGATAGTACCTCCCTGGGCGGTTGCTGTTTAAGTAGACTTATGGAACAGATTAGAAGGTCAAGTTATATAATGTAGTTTTCAGGTTCTGTAAGTTTTCTTACATGCAGTTAGTGATAAATTGTTCCAGTACATACCATATAGTAACACTCCAACCTAATTTGGATATAGAAAGTTATGAAATTACAGATATTTATTATTCTTCAGGTGCAACCGACTATGGTAGGCAAAAAGCCAAATTTGGCTCTACCTCATTGTCGACTTGTATGTTATTGTCGACTGCATGAGATTCCTGATATAACCAAGAAAGAGAGGGTTGGAGTTCACCAGCGAGAAGTCTTCCTTTTCAATGACCTTCTGGTTGTAACCAAGATTTTCTCAAAGAAGAAAAGTTCTGTAACTTACACATTTAGGCAGAGTTTTCCTCTAGCTGGTCTTGCAGTTTCCACTAGGGAAGTGCCACGTACGTTGTGACCAAGTTTTTTATGGTTTAACACTAAATGACATTACTGAATAATTTATTTTAAATTTATGTAATTCAATAACCTATAGATGAATTTAATATCTAATTTTCAGATTACCCTTATTTAATGGAAATTCGACACCGTGTGGATAATAAGGTATTAATAATTTTTAATGCCCGCAATGAACACGATCGCACCAAATTTTGTGAGGACTTAAAGGAAAGTGTGTGTGAAATGGACGAGATGGAATCTCTGAGAATTGAAGGAGAACTGGAGAGACAGAAGGCTTCACTACGAACATCTAGACCAAGTTCTACAGCTCGTTCTAGAACAGAGACTCTGGAGTAGCTGATATGGTATTGCTACAACTAGTGAGAAGAATGGAACTCTTAAACCTGACTCTACTTTAGAGATCAGCTCTTAGCAATTCCCTACTGGATATCCATGAAGCTGGTTAGTTAAATCATTGTTATACAGGACTATTCCAAATACAGTAAATCCTTAAGAATAATCTTTCATTAAAGCCAGTCTTGTCACATTTCTCGTGAATTTCTAAAAAAATCTAAAAGGTAACTTTGCTTCATTAGTGCTGTTCATCTATCTGTAGTGCACTGTATTTTTATTTTTTGTCAGAACTGAAAAAAAGCCTTTTCCTACATTATTTGTAAATGTTGGCAACATTACCATTAATTAAATTCATGATTAATAATCTCAGGTACTTACTGTAGCTTGGATTTGGTTTTTAGATAGGATACTTGTATATGAGACAATACTGAGTGCTAAAAAGATAAAAAATATACTTCTGAAAAGTTTATCTTATTTTCATTGTACATTCTTTACATCTCCACTGCTACCTCTGTCTTATCACCACTCTAACTGAGTGTGTGTTGGGGTGGGAGGTTGATAAGAGCATTTAGTAGGCACATGTTAGCAAAGTTGCACAAGTGAGTAGAGAGAATTGTTATTAATATATTAACCTTATTGTGTGAGCATAAGTGCAATGTTTTAAGATTTTTTTTGATAAGACTTATACAGTACATAGTCTGAAGAAAGGTATAGAACATCTTAGTATAAAATGTCTTTCAATTTAATGACAGAATAATAAGCTTAGACTCATTTTTGTCTCCAAGTATTCACTGGTGAAACCTAGGGTTTGTAACAAAGAATTAAATGAGAATGTTGCCCAGAACTTATTGCTGCATTGATTTTTTAACCAATAATAAGTTTTGCTGTTATTCAGTATAACTATTAAACATATTTGGTTAATTTAAAGCTTTTAAGAATTTTTGCTCCCAATGCACCTGTACTGCTCAGCCCCCTTCACCACAGCCATGTTACCTCTGCACCCACCCAGTGTAATATATGTAGCTTAACCTTCACAGCAGATGCATATGCAAAGTAGAATTTTCACATCCTGATCACAATTGCACAGCTTTGTATTTATAATTTTGTACAGTATTTGCTAAAATTCATTGAACTGAAAAGCATTTACTGAATATTTAGTATTCTCGAATACTTCAATGTTGAGAATAATCACGACAGTTTGACAGTGTTATTGAGCATTTTAGCTTTGGTGTGCAATTGCATTTAAGAAATTTAAAGCTTCAACCAGTTTGACTTCAATTTTGTGGTGGTGTAAGTGGTGGTGTGGTTCACAGAGGGTGTTGGGCAGACAGTGCGTCGGGGCAGTGTGGGCTCGCTCGACTCTGGCATGTCTGTGTCCTTCCAGTCCACTAGTGCCTCCAATGATACTTCTCCTGCGAATGGTCCTTCTGGGGTGTTCAACCCTTCGTGTCTAGTGCCTCCCATGGAGACCTCCAGCATCATCTACAACGACGTACAGTGACGCCTAATTCTTCCTTCCTTGGTCAATTGTTTCGTCCACGTAGAATCTCTCGAACTGAACCGAGTACAGCTGGAGTGGAGGTGTGACAGTTACACAAGCAACCTCATTTTTTCATCTTCCACACAAGAAATAGATGATTTTGGGCAAAGTCAGGTTGTATTTAGCCATATTCTAGTCTTTCAAGTGTGTACACAATGCATTCCAAATGGATCAGAGTGAAGATGAAGCTGCCCAGACCATCTGTTCTGTAACTAGCCCTGCGTACCTCATACCATGTATGTGTGCAAAGGCATTGGTACCTATGTAAGTAGTAGCAAAGGTTAAAACCAAACAAATTATACAGTGACATTTAGTCAGATGTAGTCACATATAATCTTGTGTAAAATATGATGTATATAAGTCATGTTGAAAAAATATATACCTAATCCCAGTTAATGAATATAACTCAGAAATGAGACTTCTTGTCTACAGGCATTTTAGCATAGCAACTGCTAGTCTAAAGATATCAGGATTTCAAAGATATCCAGAAGATAGGTATAATTTTATTCAGTGTAATGTGTGCACAACAGTTAATACAAATAGCAAGGTACAGTTTAGTTTAATATAAACTGTATACTTCCCTGTGGAATTAACCTCTAGTCAGCACACAGACCATTCTGTTTATATATATATATATATATATATATATATATATATTATATATATATATATATATATATATATCTTTCTTTCAACACACCGGCCGTATCCCACCAAGGCGGGGTGGCCCAAAAGGAAAAACGAAAGTTTCTCCTTTTACATTTAGTAATATATACAGGAGAAGAGGTTACTAGCCCCTTGCTCCCGGCATTTTAGTTGCCTCTTACAACACGCATGGCTTACGGAGGAAGAATTCTGTTCCACTTCCCCATGGAGATAAGAGGAAATAAACAAGAATAAGAACTAGAAAGAAAATAGAAGAAAACCCAGAGGGGTGTGTATATATGTGCTTGTACATGTATGTGTAGTGTGACCTAAGTGTAAGTAGAAGTAGCAAGACGTACCTGAAATCTTGCATGTTCATGAGACAGAAAAAAGGACACCAGCAATCCTACCATCATGTAAAACAATTACAGGCTTTCGTTTTACACTCACTTGGCAGGACGGTAGTACCTCCCTGGGCGGTTGCTGTCTACCAACCTACTACCTTGATATATATATATATATATATATATATATATATATTATATATATATATATATATATATATATATATATATATATATCTGATGCTTCTAGGCAGATTGTTGACCTGGTTTAATTTTGTGCAGTGTACCAGATACTGATATTACCGTAAAACAAACACTTATAACTTTGTACATAGGGGATATATTGTTATAATTTTGTCAGCTTGATAATACAGGCTGTCTTTCTATGACAAATAAAGATTATGATGACAATTCTTTTATTAACCTTTCTGACTTGTTAGGGATGTCACACAAATAACTCGCACATTGGGGAGAGGCGCTCCCGATGATGTTTTGGTCTAACTTGAACTCTGTAAATGGTCCAAGTCAGACCGAAACATCATATAGCTGCTCTCTCCTAGGCTTGGATTATCTATATATTTTTCCAGTCACGGTATTGTACCTTTTTGTTTTTCATTAGGGATGTCTTTAGATGTTAAATGCATTCCACAAAAATATCTGCAAAATTGAATTCAGTTCTACAGTAAGAACAAACTGCATTCAGAAGAGGAAGTATATGATGTAGTCCATCCTGAACTACTGTAAAGTCACAACCAAGTGAGAAAATACTTGTACTTCACAATGGTCCAGGACAGACTGAAATTTCCCTAAGTGGGCTATCTGTGAATTGTTTGATCCACAGTATTTTGACCTAGTCTTCAAACTGCCAACACTGTTTTAATGGAAAGATATAGCTATGGTCTTTTATCTCGGAGGAGGAACAGGGCAAGTTCCTCCTGCTCATCCATTGGTAAGGCTTCAAGAGTATTCATCATATGTGCTAATCTTGCACGTTTGCTCTCTCTTGCTCGGTCACGTGCACGTCTTTTCCCACTGAAATTAATATAGAATATTGGTTTTAAAGTTGAGATTTTTTTTTCTATAACCCTTTTTAAATTGTAATTACACATTAACAAAGCACTGAAAAAAAAGTCTTGGGTATGACACCAGTTAGGAGTGATAATAGACTACATAAAGAACCAACCGAGGATCAATTCTCTTAGAACGGAAATTGAAGCAGAATGTGTCAAGGGGTTACTGGACAGACAAATAGGGCTAAAATGGCAGAGGAAAGCACCCTAAAACTGGAGATGCTCTCTGAATATTAGGTGGTGATAAGTGTGACTACAAAGGAAATGGTAAAAAGCAAAGATATCTGGGGGAAAGCTGAAGACAACTGCTCAAAAGGCAAGCAGTACCCAGACTCCAATGAAAAAGCATAGCTGAAGAAAACTTACAATCATGTCTATTTGGATTGGAATACGACAACAACCAAGAGAAGATTTGAGCATAGAGAACAGATGGGTCCAGCATCCAATGCAGCTCCCAACTCCTATTATTATAATCAAAAAGAAGCGCTAAGCCACAAGGGCTATACAGCGCTCCCAACTCCTAATACAATGCAATGGTTGATATAACAAGCAGCTAGGAGTGTGCACAGGACCAAGGCAAAGTTAGTTATCATGGACCATGCCAACATGTTAGGATACAAGGAGAGAGATACACCTAGTGTTTACTGCATGTCTAACATAGAAGAAATAGATGACGAGAGCCCCCTGGGTGCAAGTGACCATGCAGTTCAAAAGGGAACTGAAAGGAAAGTCAATGAGACAGAGTACATGGTTGGGAGGCAGAAGAAAACTTCATAACCTAGATGAAGAATGGGAAATAGAAAAGACAAAGAAAGCCCATGGTTCACCCAAAGATGCAGATGCAAAAAAACATGGAAAACTCACGGGAAGCAAAGGATAGACAAGACAGAGAAGCAAGCAGATTAGCCATAAATGAATATGCAAGGGTGAGGAGTGTGTCAATTTGAGAATGACACTGCAACCAAGGCCAAGTCCAAATCACAGCCGCATCATAAGAAAAAACGCCAGCTAATTCAACTGAGGAAGTTAAAAGAAGAGCTCATGGAAAATGACATGTCTGCAAAGTACTTAACAAATGATTTAGAGGTCTTTTCAGTGGAAATGAGCAATGTCAAAAAGCCCAGGGGACATTAAAAAAGTACATTGGCAAGTACTGGACAATACACACACAACAGGGGTAGAGGTATTGTGCCTTTGTTATTATCTGATATCTGTTAATGGTTCCAGGAATCAATGCTCCCAAGGCTCAAGTCTCAAACCAAGAGTGACCTATGATGTGAAAATTCAAGAAAAGAATGATTCCCTTTACTTCACTGGTGGTGGTAGTAGTAGTAGTAGTAGTAAGTATAGAATTGTACTTGTACTACTACTACTACCACCACCTCTTCCTGCCTATACATAGCCATCCTGCTCCACCTCTGGTTAGTGTGACTTTGTCAATGGTCCAAGTCGGACCGAAACGTCGTCGTAAGCTTCTCTCTTTTATGTGCGGGTTATTTGTGTATCGTTCCAGTCACGGTATTGTGCCTTTTTTTGTTATTCATCAATGATAGTTTGAGTGAACTCATCAATGTCATCATCACTTTCATCTTGTTCCTCTGCCTCTTCTTTTTCATCTTCCTTGTTTTCAGTCGATTTAGCCTTTGCCTTTCTCTTTTTCAATCTATAAAAAATGATAGAAAGGACAATATTTTAATGTTATATATAGACAACATTTTGCAGCATTATCAATGGTTTACAGTAAAGTGTCAAGTGTAAAATGAGCATTAGTCAATATATTTACACGTGACAGCATGGAGGATGCATGTTTTACACTTAGGTAAGTGTGCACTTAAAATTTTTATGTGGGGGTGGTAAAAACAAAGAGATCATACAGTGCCTGAAAAATGGGAGGCAGTCATGTGTAATCAATGGAAGAGGAGGGTAGCTTCCGTTCCTTGGATTAAGAGTTGAAGGGTGCACAAAACTACGTGGGAGCATGGATCAGAGATCAGAATGAAAGATGAGCTGATGTGAAGGAAATAAAGACGTGAAGTGAGGCAGTGAATGGGTGTGCTAGGGTAGGTGATGTAGGCATGGAGGAGAATATAGAGGTGTACAAGACAGCAATTGTTGGTCCCCTCTTTGTCTCATAAACATACAATGTGTTTTAACTACACATTTGCAACTGAGTTCCCTTCTAATTTTTTTAATAGTTCCTACCCTTGTAGTGGGTTAGGATGCACGTGCAAGAGAGTGAATAAATGAATGAATTATGGGCATTTTGAGGAAAGTGAGGGAATAATTGTTGAGTGACCTAAATGCTAAAGTGGGTGAGACTTGTTGACAGAGTAGTAGGCAGCTTTGAAGTGTCACAGATAAATGATAATGAGGGGGCCCTTAATTGAAACTCTGGTATAATATTTTTAAAGGGTATAGCCAAATTTGTTAATACCTTTAATGTGAACATTATTTTGTCATCCATAAATATTAAAAAAAAAAAAAAAAAAAGTTTTGACCAATTTCCGCTGATTTCCAGCAGAAATATAAGAACAACTATAATCTAATACAGCATTATTTTAACGACACTGTATTGCTAGACAAGTACAGTGGAACCTCTACTTGCGAGCGTGTCCACGTGCAAGTTTTTCCAAATACGAGCAGTCAATAGGTCAATTTTTTGCTTCCATACGCGAGCAAAATTTCCACACACGAGCAGACCTGGTGAGGGGCTCTTGCTCTTGATCTCGGTAATTGTATCTCATTTGTTTGTTGGACTATCTTATTGAAACTTGGGCAATGTATGATGGAAAGATGCTTCTTAAGGTAGACAAAAATGAAAGAAATCTAAGCATAAATAATGGAGTTCATTCTCAGCAATTAGCCACCCCTTAGTGGTAATTTTGAATGGTTTTCATGGTTGTATTCTCGTTTTTTTTGGTCTCATTTGATAGAATGGAAGATATATTACAGAAATAGATATGAAATAGAGCTCAACCTAGGAGAAATGGTCCATTGCTTGGCTGTTTGTGTAAACAAATGACATCACAGTAAATCTTATATTTTTTGTGTGGATAAAAATTACAAATTATTTATATAATAATAACAATGAAAATGATCATAATAATAATAATGAAATCCTGTGTAATACGTAATTATGTGAGCGTTAGAATAACAGATGGAAATGAGAGACGGAAAACACCACACAGGGATTATTGTTATTGTATTCACTGGGAAGTGCTAAATCTGCTGCTCAAGAATAGCTAAGTTTTCTTCAAGGAAGGGAAGGGTAGCTTCAATTCCTTGGATCAAGCCCCCTTCATCAGCATCAATAGGAGCTAAGTTTTCTTCAAGGAAGGGAAGGGTTAGCTTCAATTCCTTGGATCAAGCCCCCTTCATCAGAATCAAGGTAGACATTGTGATGAAATGTTGAAAGCAATAGAGTGTGGATTTTCAGAATAATGATAGACTAAAGACTATCTCCAGTATATCACATAAATGTAGTACATTGAAACTCAAGCCACACTGAATAACCTAATAAAATAAGACTACACATTTAAGAAGATGCTAAAAGAAAGCTGTTCACAACAAATATTAGGCAAAAATTTAAATAGGTAGCAGTAGTACAATGACTGCACCTCGTTCAAAAAAAAAAAAAAGATTTTATTTTAATTATTATCCTGGAGGATTAATGACACAGGATAACCCAATAAACCTCCATCATCAAACTGTTGGATGCAGCCAGCTAACACCTGGGTACTTACTGTATTTTATGGCATTGGAAGCGATATTTTTCCCCCAAAATAAGTCTCGAAAAACTTACCCAGCCTTGAAGGCTGAAGTACAGTTTATCTTTTTTTTCCAAAATTTAGCCAATCAGAATTGGGGGACATCCTCAACACTGAGGCATCTTGTTTACCATAAAATATGGTTCTAAATGATCAGAGGCAACATGCGTAAGGAAATGTGCCTAACTTTCCACTTGCCTGGGACTGAGCCCAGTCCCCCAGTGTGAGCTGAGGCCAATACCAACTGAGCCACAAGCAGGTAGACAAGACAGAAAAATTCCAAAGACATTTAATAAAATGACTCCTAGAGCAACACAAAAAAAAAATATTATGAAGACTGAAAACACCAAACACCCTCATGGCTGATACGAGGAAAAGAAGGGAAGTAATATTCACAAAGAAAAGACATTACTATGGCTCAAACATGTCACAAATAATGTCCATTTAGGACAGTAAACTCCAGTAAACTCCAGATGATGTTCAACCCATCCTGGACCATTATTAAATCTAGAACAAACTAAAACTAAAATGAAATCTCAATTTTCCTTTCCTAAGTGTGGGTTATTTGTGAATGACACCCGCATATAAAATCATAGAGAGAAATCAGAAAATTGATGAAGATTTCTTAGCATCAATGACAGAGAGAACACAAGGCTATGAGTGAAAACAAAGAAAACAATTGTTAAAAGGATACTTGAAAGTGCTTAAAATGAGCTTTGAGATGAGGTAGTATGGTATTAAACGCTGAAGATAGGGCACCATGAATATATGCTCTCCTCTTGTAACAGGTTTATTCATCACACAAGTTTCCAGGTTTCAACTGATAAAAAAAAAATGGTACGGATGGATTTGACCCATAGCGAATGAATCGTAAAATTCCAGGCCGTGCATAAGTCACTGGGCCAGCTGGCTAAAATAACATTCGTCCATCTAGGTATATTTCTATACACCATATCGGAGTTTACAACTCACCATGGATTCAAACCCCACCTGCTCTGTGGTTTGAACTGATACAATGAAAGGCAAGAGAAATTCCCAGTGGTTAAACACAAAAAATTTCTAAATTCTCATGCCTAATCAATAACTACTGTACTGATCAATGTCAAAAATAAAAATATATTGTCAGAAATACTTACCCCCTTTTTCTATTAGCTTTGTAGCATTTAACTTTTTATCAAGGTGATCTTCCTCTTTCATGATGTCCTGAAACCTGGTAATATCAATTCCAACCATATATCTGCTTATTGTCTGCCTGAATATATGGAAATGAATTAAAAAATTTATAAATACTAGAGAGGAGGGCCCCACCTATACAGCAGTTAGGTTACAGACTATGCGAAAGCAAAAATCACAAAAAAGTGGAATATAACCTTTTTTCACTTTCAAATGCATATAAAAGCCTGTAACATGCTTACACTATCATCAGTAAGTGCCCAATAGAACTAGGCCTATGAAGATACAAAAGTACAATGAATATACAAGACACACACATTACGTACCTTAAAATACTTTTGTCCTTAGCTTATAAAGAGTGGTGAATATATTTACAGTAGGAAGAATGAAGATGCGACATTTTCATCATCTGACTTAAACCTATTAAACCAGCCTCTGCTAGCTCAGTAGCTTCCCCATCTCTCTCAGCCTTCATAGAACTGAAGAGACTTGGGGCCTTGCCCTGGATAATGACTGGTTTGATCTTCAATCCACACTAGTAAAAGTTTTCTCATGTCGCCAATAAGGCCCTCATTGATTTCGTGTATAGGGCAAGGAGGAATAACATCTTGTAGGAGTGAGGAAGAGTCAGTTGTGAGTGTGGGGGAAGTTCGTGAGGCAGTAGGTAAAATGAAAGGGGGTAAGGCAGCCGGGATTGATGGGATAAAGATAGAAATGTTAAAAGCAGGTGGGGATATAGTTTTGGAGTGGTTGGTGCAATTATTTAATAAATGTATGGAAGAGGGTAAGGTACCTAGGGATTGGCAAGTGAGCATGCATAGTTCCTTTGTATAAAGGCAAAGGGGATAAAGAGAGTGCAAAAATTATAGGGGATAAGTCTGTTGAGTGTACTGGTAAAGTGTATGGTAGAGTTATAATTGAAAGAATTAAGAGTAAGACGGAATAGGATAGCAGATGAACAAGGAGGCTTTAGGAAAGGTAGGGGGTGTGTGGACCAGGTGTTTACAGTGAAACATATAAGTGAACAGTATTTAGATAAGGCTAAAGAGGTCTTTGTGGCATTTATGGATTTGGAAAGGCGTATGACAGGGTGGATAGGGGGGCAATGTGGCAGATGTTGCAAGTGTATGGTGTAGGAGGTAGGTTACTGAAAGCAGTGAAGAGTTTTTACGAGGATAGTGAGGCTCAAGTTAGAGTATGTAGGAAAGAGGGGAATTTTTTTCCCAGTAAAAGTAGGCCTTAGACAAGGATGTGTGATGTCACCGTGGTTGTTAATATATTTATAGATGGGGTTGTAAGAGAAGTAAATGCGAGGGTCTTGGCAAGAGGCGTGGAGTTAAAAGAAAAGAATCACACACAAAGTGGGAGTTGTCACAGCTGCTCTTTGCTGATGACACTGTGCTCTTGGGAGATTCTGAAGAGAAGTTGCAGAGATTGGTGGATGAATTTGGTAGGGTGTGCAAAAGAAGAAAATTAAAGGTGAATACAGGAAAGAGTAAGGTTATGAGGATAACAAAAAGATTAGGTGATGAAAGATTGAATATCAGATTGGAGGGAGAGAGTATGGAGGAGGTGACGTATTCAGATATTTGGGAGTGGACGTGTCAGCGGATGGGTCTATGAAAGATGAGGTGAATCATAGAATTGATGAGGGAAAAAGAGTGAGTGGTGCACTTAGGAGTCTGTGGAGACAAAGAACTTTGTCCTTGGAGGCAAAGAGGGGAATGTATGAGAGTATAGTTTTACCAACGCTCTTATATGGGTGTGAAGCGTGGGTGATGATGTTGCAGCGAGGAGAAGGCTGGAGGCAGTGGAGATGTCATGTCTGAGGGCAATGTGTGGTGTGAATATAATGCAGAGAATTCGTAGTTTGGAAGTTAGGAGGAGGTGCGGGATTACCAAAACTGTTGTCCAGAGGGCTGAGGAAGGGTTGTTGAGGTGGTTCGGACATGTAGAGAGAATGGAGCGAAACAGAATGACTTCAAGAGTGTATCAGTCTGTAGTGGAAGGAAGGCGGGGTAGGGGTCGGCCTAGGAAGGGTTGGAGGGAGGGGGTAAAGGAGGTTTTGTGTGCGAGGGGCTTGGACTTCCAGCAGGCATGCGTGAGCGTGTTTGATAGGAGTGAATGGAGACAAATGGTTTTTAATACTTGACGTGCTGTTGGAGTGTGAGCAAAGTAACATTTATGAAGGGATTCAGGGAAACCGGCAGGCCGGACTTGAGTCCTGGAGATGGGAAGTACAGTGCCTGCACTCTGAAGGAGGGGTGTTAATGTTTTTCAGTTTAAAAACTGTAGTGTAAAGCACCCTTCTGGCAAGACAGTGATGGAGTGAATGATGGTGAAAGTTTTTCTTTTTCGGGCCACCCTGCCTTGGTGGGAATCGGCCGGTGTGATAATAAAAAATAAAAAACATTTTTTATAACTTTAGTATTCACCGGTGTAGCATTTTTAATTTCCTTCAATGCTTTCTCCTTAGAGTTCACAACTGTATTAACTGTTTGACAAGCCAAACCCAGCTTGCATCCTATCTCAGCCATAGACATATCTTGATGATTAATTTAATCATTTCTAACTTGGCATTTCAAATAAAAGGCTTATGACTCCTCTTGTTATCACACCTACCCTTAGATGCCTTTGTAATTAGTACAGAAATATTACATATCTTCTTTCTTCTTTCAACAAATCAGCCATTTCCCACCGAGGCAAGATGGCCCAAAAAGAAAAAAAAAAATTTATCTTTTTAACTTTAGTAATGTATACAGGAGAAGGGGTTACTAGCCCCTTGTTCTCGGCATTTTAGTTGACTCTTACGACATGCATGGCTTACAGAGGAAGAATTCCGTCCCACTTCCCCATGGAGATAAGCGGAAATAAACGAGTACTAGGAAGAAAATAGAAGAAAACCCAGAGTGGTTTGTATATATATGCTTAGACATGCACGTGCAGCGTGACCTAAGTGCAAGTAGAAGTAGCAAGACGTACCTGAAACCTTGCATGTTTCTTCTCTCAACACACCGGCCATATCCCACCGAGGCGGGGTGGCCCAAAAGGAAAAACGAAAGTTTCTCCTTTTACATTTAGTAATATATACAGGAGAAGGGGTTACTAGCCCCTTGCTCCTGGCATTTTAGTCGCCTCTTACAACACGCATAGCTTATGGAGGAAGAATTCTTATCCACTTGTACATGTATGTATAGTGTGACCTAAGTGTAAGAGGAAGTAGCAAGACGTACCTGAAATCTTGCATGTTTATGAGACATAAAAAAGATACCAGCAATCCTACCATCATGCAAAACAATTACAAGCTTCTGTTTCACACTCCATAAAGGAGGAGCTTCTGTTTCACACTCCATAAAGGAGGAGACCAAACAGAGTTGAATAACTATAGGCCAATATCCAATTTACACCCTCTCTCAAAAATCTTCGAAAAATTAATTCATAAACGAATCTACTCCTACCTCATCTCCCAAAACATTCTCAACCCCTGCCAATTTGGATTCAGGCCTAATAAAAATACTAATGATGCTATTATACACATGCTAGAACATATTATCATCTGCAATAGAGAAAAAAGAAGTCCCACTAGGGATCTTCATTGCCTACGTACAAGCTTTTGATACAGTTGACACATGAACTTGTCCATGTAAAAATTGTCACACATATGGTATTAGAAGGGCACTCCCTCAACTAAGTTACCTCAGCAACAGAAGCCAATATGTGTATCGCAAATGGGGCAAAGCTCTTCGCACAACCAATTACAGTTGTGTCTCCACAGGGAAGTGTCCTTGACCTCTTCTCTTTCCTATCATACAATGACCTACCAAATGCTTCGCAATTACTCAAACCCACACTTTTGCAGATGACACTACATACGTCTTCTCTACCCGAGCCCAGTACACGCTAGCCAATACTGAAACACGAATTACAGAAAATATCTACCTGGATGAGGACTAACAAACTTACACTAAAACATTGATAAATACCTACTTCATTCAGTTTGGTAACAGTGCTAAGATTACTAACTAGACATAACAATAAACGGATCACCTATCACAAAGCTAACAGGGAAAATTCTTAGGAATCCACCTCGATAACAGACTCAAATTTCATACACATATACAACAAATTTCTAAGAAAATTTCCAGACTGTAGGCATACTATCGAAGATACGGTACTAGTTCCACAGTCACGCCTACCTGGCCCTTTATCACTCTCTTATATTACCCCTATCTCACCTATGGAATTTGTGCATGGGGCTCAACAACAAATTAACCATCTCAGACCACTAATTACCAACAAAAGGCTGCAGTTGAATGATAACCAAATTTCCACTACAGCACACATCCACCAATATTCAAAACACTCAACCTACTCACCAATACAACATCCATACTTATTATGGTACCTATTACATACATAGACACAATAACTCTTGATATTAACCCTCCCCTCAAACATCTCCTAGCAACCTCAACAGAACACATGACCATAAACACAGGCACAGATTACTCTTTGATGTTCCTCGTGTCCATCTCACGCTATGCAAAAACTCAAGCACATAAAAGGCCCTAAAATCTGGAATTCATTACCTGTAAAATAAAAGAAACACACCTGTTTAATAAATTCAAGTCTCTCTCAAAGATCACTTACTCACCAAAACCAAATAAATACTGAATAACTGAACCTTATAAATTGTATATCCTATATGTTAATCACAATATATCACACAAACGTTAAACCTAGGACCCAATCTAACTTTATTATTTTTTTTAAATACACTACCTAACAGAATACTCATTCGACTGATGTACAGCAATGCATGCACCATATGACCTGTCTTTGTAATACCATTTGTGCTTAATAGTTATTGTTTACAATAAATGTTTTATCACTGATTTCATCATTGCTTAGTTATACTTAAAGTTAATTTTAAGCCAGCCCTTAATGCTAATGCATAGTAAGGGCTTTGCATAGCTGCTCTACCTGTATTTTTTGTACCTCTGTATGTATGCTTAAATAAATAAATAAATAAATAAATAAATAAAGGATAGTAGTACTTCCCTGGGTGGTTGCTGTCTACCAACCTACTACCCAGGCATATTATATATATAATAATCAGTGGGTTTAGCGCTTCTCTGTAAAAGTAATAATACTGTGATATTCTAAAATTTAATGAAATATTCAATTAGTACCTGTGCAATGAATAAAAAAACTACCTTCACACATATTAAAAAACCTGCTCACCTGCTGATATGTGGGATCCAGTAACATTTCATCATCAAATATCACTCTTTGGTTAACCAGCAAGTTCTTCCTCTTCAGTTTTTTGACAATATCAAATTTCATTATTGGCTTCTTACAATTTGTTCTGGAGTCTGTGGACTTCATGATCATTTTATCATCGTCAGTGAATTCATGCTGGTGTTCAGAGATCTTAAGGAAGTTGTCGTCATCATCTTCATCACTGTCACCTGTTGACAATGTAGATAACTGCCATTATAATTATTCTTAATTGCTATTATTTTTACAATTATTGGGAAAAGTTAAATCCATAGGGGTCATATACTGCCTGGGGGTAAAAGAAAGCATTCAGGCTAGATTCAAGGAATTTGAGCAAAGGCCCAATTCCTTGAGGGAGCTAAACCCATAAGGGGAATGCAATACCTGGAAAATGAGAGGCAATGAGGTTTGATCTAGCTTAGCTTAGCTTTATGTACAGGAAAAGACCCTTTGGGGGTGAGTATGGAAGATAGGTGAGATTAAGAATAGTTTTGTAAGAGGAGTGTCCTGAGGGAGAGGGATAATACCAAGGCATAATAAAGCCCCTGGGAGGTTTGATATAGAGTGAAACTGTCACAATAAAAGCTTGCTCTATACCTCTATCTTTCCATTACTATGGTAGTATGGCTTATGTTATTATCCAATGTGAGGAAAAACATAATTCTAATTCCCTGGATCAAAAGCCCTTTATCAGCATCAAAAGCCATTCCCCCCCACCTTTGAATGGTTACCAAATGAAGGGAATACTATAAAGAAAACTGCAAACTCAGATAAACTATTGAGTGGTAAATTTTGGCCTAGACATGAGAGAATGGTTGTGTGCGATGAGTGGACATAGAATAAAAAGTCCTGCCCCATGCGGTGCATGATAGGAAAAGAAAATCTCTGACCCTATGTAGTTTTAAAATTGCAATTTTTGAGGTGTTCTTCAGGATGGTTTTTATGGTTTTACTGGCTGCTTCTTGGTGTTATTTTATAGACAGGAAACAGTGAAGATTTTGGTTGGTTTGAGAACCAGTTTTAGTTTGAAATCAGGGTCAAAGTAGGGAAAAAGTTTGATTTTTTGATGGTTTTCCTGAGGGCAGGTAAGGCTCCCTTGGTGTATTTTTTTTTACTAGGTCTGTGTTGATTATTGGGATGCCCTAAACCATAACCACTCATTCTGATTATATTTTATCCTCCAAGCCTTAGACCAAGAGGTCTGGTCTGAAACTGGACCACAGGGAAGAAATAGCCAGAACTACTAACAAATAACACATGTATAAGGGAGCCCGGCTGAGGCTACCTCTTGATATTTTTGTTAATATTTTTCTTTGCTTTGAGTTTATCAAATGCATATGTTTGTTTGGTATGGGTGTGTGTTATGCAGGGTTCTGCATGACATCGTAATGTACATATAGTGGAGAAGTGTACCATAATAATATGAATATTATAGTTGTAAAGAATAATTTTATAATTGATAATGTGCATTTGGGGGTACTGTAAAGTACTCTAACTGTAATTATAAAGAAATTCTGTTAATGATTTATTTTCCAAGGATGTTTGGGTACGCAGAGTAAGCGTGGGGGGAGTCACGTGACCTTAGATGGTGTGTAGAGGCTGGCGTCGGAGTTAGTTAGTTAGTTTAATATGTTTATTATGCACCCGATAGCTATCCTGTGGGCGGTAGTCAAAAGATTACAGAGGTACATAATTGGTCCAGGGACTGGACTCCAAAGTTTTGATAGCTGAGCAAGTTACAGAGGTAATGAATTCACAATTTACAAAGGTAATGAACTCACAAATTTCAAAGGTAATGAACTCCGGGTAGGTCTAGTCACAATCATGACAAGTTACAAAGGTATTTACAGATTACAGAGGTACGTAATGGCTCCAGGGACTGGGCCCCAAAGTTTGGATGGCTGAACTAGGTACAAGGTAATGAACTCATAAGTTACAAAGGTAATGAAAACTGTAAGAATGGTTACTTACGTTTATACATGGCTACAATCATGAACAAATTATAGTGTAATGAGCAATTCACACTTCCACACCCGGTCACAACTGTAGTGATTTTAATGGTGCAAATATTGATTGTTGAGTCCAACACACACACACAAACATCACACAACACACACAACACACCACACACACAACACACAAAACACAACACACACACACACACACACACATAATACAAATTCACACACAACACACAACCGGTGAAGAGGCGGGGCCAGGAGCTAGGACTCGACCCTGCAACCACAAATGTGAGTACAAAATAGGTGAGTACACATAAACACACACACACACATACACAAACTCATAAAAAATACACGCACACACACTCATACCGTGAAGAGCCAACCGGTGAAGAGGCGGGCCAGGAGCTAAGACTCGACCCCTGCAACCAACAAATAGGTGAGTACAAATAGGTGAGACGGAATAACTCACCAACACACACACACACACACACACACCACCAACACACACACACACACACACAACACACACACACACACCACCACACACACACAACACACACACACCCACACATGCACACATGTGGTAATGCTTTATTTACAGCTAGCAAAGTCAGGGTATTTCTCCAGAATGGTCTGCAATATACCACTGTGGATAAAATACTTTGCCATTTCTTGAACATTTCTGAGTGAGTTGTTTCTAAATTCATTAATTTTATCACACTCCAGTACATAATGACGCAAGGTGTGACAATAATCCATCTGGCAAAGTTTACATTTCGTTTGGTCTACATCTGGTGGTGGTGATTTAACCTGCCAAAGATACTTGTAACCCAGCCGGAGCCGGGCAGTAGTGACATCCAAGAGTCTGCTTATTTTGTTGGATGCACCATAGACATGTGGCTCCTCCTGCATGATAGAGTGATAATAGATGGACTCACTGGTGTCAATCTCCCTGAGCCTTAAGTCCATAAAATTCAGTTGAAGTTCTTTTTGTATTATTGTTCTCAAACTACTACGTCGGAGGTGCTGTGTATTTAAGATAAGTTTGTAGTTGTGCACTCATTTTGTTTATCCAACTAAGCCATAGGCTCTCATATGGCTTACCTGTATGTTCACCCAGGCTCTGACATGGTCAGGGTGCTGTGGGATGAGTGAGAAAATAAGAAATGAGGTTTGTAGTGTAATGACGGCCTGACGCTGACGAAGCCTAGTGTTATCGTGGCTGAACCTCCAGCCAGCTGTTGTGTGTACCCTCATTTGGGCGTTTAGGATTAAGGTTTTTCTGTTATGTTATGTTATGGTAACTAAATAGATATATTTTCCTAATTGGGATTTTTGCCTAACCCTCTGTTACCCAACCCCTTGAAGTACACATACCAGTTTAGCGCTTTCTGTTTTGACTGGGATAGCCCTGGGTGGCCGGTTTGGGCTTGAGATGTGTGTAACTTTTACCTTTGCCCTTAGACCAGGCTCAAGCCCCCAGCTATCCCACATTTCTGCATAACAGTGTGGAAAGCTCTTATTTGTTTGGTACAATTTGGTAAACAAATGTGGCTTTTATTTCCATGTTACTGACATGTACTGAGTATCAGTTGATTAACCTCATTACATCAAACTTAGCCCAGTAGGTCCATGTTAACCCTCCCCACAAGCTTCAAGTGCTTCAGGTAACAACTAACACAATATGAAGTAAGTTATCCTGTAGTAATTTTTACCTAGTAGAATAGCAACATGAAATATTTATGGCAAATTTGGAAGTGCCTGGAAATTAACCCTATTTTTCTGCAATAAATTTCAATTCATATAAAGTTACTTCTGACATGGTCTTCACTTCATATAAAGTTATTATGCTGACATAGTTTTCACCTCACAAAGCTACTTTTCATGAGGTGCAGGTTTTCAGGAACATAGCCTGCTTTATGAGAGATTTTACTCTATATGATGCAAGCTAGAAAATGCAATTCTGAAACAAATATCACTGTCTATACAAGGAGACACAAGCAAATTTTGAACGTACTGTATTACTGCATAACAATGTACATGAATAATTTTTACCTGCTCTAATATCTAGTGTTGTGAGCTCAGGTCTTTCTGCTAAGTCAGATACCTGCTCTGCTTCATTAGTTTCAGATTTAACTGCCATCTGGCCCAATGCTCTCTTCATTCCTTTTTTCAAAAATCTTACTCTGGGAGTGGGTACAAGTCCTAATGATCTAATGTAAGAGAAACAAAAACATTAAAGAATGTTAAGAATTATTTGAGAAACACTTCTCTAATAATTTTTTTTTCAACATGCTACTCATCTCCCACTGAGGCAGAGGTGACCCAAAAATGAAAGAAACACTTTCACTATCATTCACACACAATCACTGTAATATTATATATGTAATATATAGAGTTAGAGCTAAAGAAGGAGTAGCAATAATGTTGAAGGATAAGCTATGGCAGGAAAAGAGGGACTACAAATGTATAAATTCAAGGATTATGTGGAGTAAAATAAAGACTGGATGTGAAAAGTCGGTTATAGTAAGCGTGTATGCACCTGGAAAAGAGAGAAGTGTAGAGGAGAGAGAGAGAGATTCTGGGAAATGTTGAGTGAATGCATGGGGAGTTTTGAATCAAGTGTGAGAGTAATGGTGGTTGGGGATTTCAATGCTAAAGTGGGTAAAAATGTTATGGAGGGAGTAGTAGGTAAATTTGGGGTGCCAGGGGTAAATGTAAATGGGGAGCCTTTAATTGAGCTATGTGTAGAAAGAAATTTGGTAATAAGTAATACATATTTTATGAAAAAGAGGATAAATAAATATACAAGGTATGATGTAGCACATAATGAAAGTAGTTTGTTAGATTATGTATTGGTGGATAAAAGGTTGATGGGTAGGCTCCAGGATGTACATGTTTATAGAGGGGCAACTGATATATTGGATCATTATTTAGTTGTAGCTACAGTTAGAGTAAGAGGTAGATGGGAAAAGAGGAAGGTGGCAACAACAAGTAAGAGGGAGGTGAAAGTGTATAAACTAAGGGAGGAGGAAGTTCGGGCGAGATATAAGCGAGTATTGGCAGAAAGGTGGGCTAGTGCAAAGATGAGTAGTGGGGGGGTTGAAGAGGGTTGGAATAGTTTTAAAAATGCAGTATTAGAATGTGGGGCAGAAGTTTGTGGTTATAGGAGGGTGAGGGCAGGAGGAAAGAGGAGTGATTGGTGGAATGATGAAGTAAAGGGTGTAATAAAAGAGAAAAAGGTAGCTTATGAGAGGTTTTTACAAAGCAGAAGTGTTATAAGAAGAGCAGAGTATATGGAGAGTAAAAGAAAGGTGAAGAGAGTGGTGAGAGAGTGCAAAAGGAGAGCAGATGAAAGAGTGGGAGAGGCACTGTCAAGAAATTTTAATGAAAATAAGAAAAAATTTTGGAGCGAGTTAAACAAGTTAAGAAAGCCTAGGGAAAGTATGGATTTGTCAGTTAAAAACAGAGTAGGGGAGTTAGTAGATGGGGAGAGGGAGGTATTAGGTAGATAGCGAGAATATTTTGAGGAACTTTTAAATGTTGAGGAAGAAAGGGAGGCGGTAATTTCATGCACTGGCCAGGGAGGTATACCATCTTTTAGGAGTGAAGAAGAACAGAATGTAAGTGTGGGGGAGGTATGTGAGGCATTACGTAGAATGAAAGGGGGTAAAGCAGCTGGAACTGATGGGATCATGACAGAAATGTTAAAAGCAGGGGGGGATATAGTGTTGGAGTGGTTGGTACTTTTGTTTAATAAATGTATGAAAGAGGGGAAGGTACCTAGGGATTGGCGGGGAGCATGTATAGTCCCTTTATATAAAGGGAAAGGGGACAAAAGAGATTGTAAAAATTATAGAGGCATAAGTTTACTGGGACTATCACATCGAGTCAGCGGCAGTGGCAACGGCAACAGGAACCTTGTCCTCTATTTTTACTTCTACCTGAGGTTCCCAGCAGCCCAGTGATGACCTAATCAAGACCTGCATAACACTAACATATGTGGATACCCAGAATGATATAAAGCAACTGCAGAAATCACCCAAAAGTTCACAAATTACCAACAAATAGGACTCATACTACACCTCCTACCCCGCTGCCACTGAAGTGATACTCCACTACATTCACCCATCGCCTACAATTCACCCGAAGCCACAGCCAATGGACAAGGGTCAGAACAATAAAAGAAGATCCAGTAACCAGCTAAGGACTCCTAACATCAAAGGTGAGAGCAGTAGTAACACGAGGAAAACTTGTAGTACTGCCAGCCAGGACACAACCCTCATCACCCACCGGCACCACCACAACACACGACAGACAACAACAAACATGACCGCCGCTACAGTCCAAGATAACTCCTTCCCAGTATTTGATGTCAAGAAGATCACTGACCCAGAAATAGCTAAACTCCTTATGATTCAGAACCAAATGATCACCAAACTAACTCAAGAAATGCAGGAACTAAAGGCTAGCAATGCAGATTGCATCAACAAGATCACTGCTCTAGAACATAAACTAGACACTCTAGAACAACAAAGCAACACCCACACCCAGTCCCTAGACACCATCAACACACTAAAAGACCAAGTCACCCTACTTACTACCAACATTACAGAGGAAAGATCAAGAGTGGACCAACAACTTGCCAATTTCATAACCAACTTCTAAGACCATAATGACCAACAGCAGCTATCTGACACTGTTGTAGTTAACAACAAACATCTCCCAGCCACAGTCACCCAAGAGACCTGCATGGAGACCACCCTACAGCTTATCAAGGACCACCTTCGCCTTAACATATGTAGTGATGACTTAAAGGATTGCAAACTGATGGGCTACCAAGCAGGTAAAAAAACAGTGCTGTTAAAATTCCAAACTAGCCTACAAAGAGACAACCTACTAAAAACATCTATTTCTATGAAAACTGATGTTTACGTCAATGAGTGCCTTACCAAAACGAGACAAAACCTTCTTTATCAGCTAAGAAAATTGCGCTATGCCCAAAAAATCCACCAGTGCTTTGTGAGGGATGGAAAAATAGCAGGTAGGAAACAGCCCACTGGGAAGAGATACTTCATCTCAACAGAACATGACCTTAAAACATTCCTAAGTGAGGCTGGACTAACAGAATCAGAGTAAAGTGCAGATAATACCCATAGTCCACCGTTAGTGTTATATTGTCATAAGTTTGTGCCCCCCTAAAATTCTAATACTCCAACTACTTTTAATTGTCATTGTTGTATTCAACGACCATTCTACCTCATAGTCTTAATTGTATTTAATATCTTCAGAATCTATCTCCTTTTTTACAACTTACCACATCACTGTTCCATCTTATTTTTTTATAAACTAACCATAACTTGTCTTCAATAATTCTACCTCACTTTAAAAAATACTCAATTGCCCAGTTTTATTCTAAATCCCTATTATTGCCCAATTTTACTTTAAACTAAATTGATCAAACTTATTGTAAACTTCTTTTATTGACCATTTTTATTCCATACTTTTTTAACCTAGTATTTTCAACTACAACTTTTATATTATCCTGTCTACCATCTTACTAGCATATTATAACCAAGTCATTGCCATTTTTATTTTTATCATTTTTTTATTATTATCTTGCTACCTTAATTTGTGTATTTTATCCTGTCAATTTAAATCTAATTATACTCTAATTCTTGTAAACAACTTATATAAGACCTTAGTGCAATTACAATTGAGAGTCTTGTTCCTTTATTTTATTATTAGATTAATCACAGTTTTACTCTAGCTCATTCTAGCTCAATACATAGTCAATACCAAATTCACTATACTAGACCATAGTGCAATTACTAGTGAGGGACTGGTGATATTTGTAATGTGTATTTTTATATTATTAGACTAAACCTAGTTGTACTATAGCTCTTTCTAGCTCAATACATAGTCAATACCAAATTCACTATATTAGACCATAGTGCAATTACTAGTGAGAGACTGGTGCTATTTTTAATTTGTATTTTTATATTATTAGATTAAATTCAGTTGTACCATAGCTCATTCTAACTCAATACATAGTCAATACCAAATTCACTATATTAGACCATAGTGCAATTACTAGTGAGAGACTAGTGCTATTTTTAATTTGTACTTTTATATTATTAGATTAAACCTATTGTACTTTAGCTCATTCTAGCTCAAAACATAGACTCCACAAAAGTCATTATTAGACCTTAGTGCAATTACAAGTGAGAGTCTTGTTCTATTTTTAATTTGTATTTTTCATATTACTAGTTTTATACCTAGTTGTACTTTAGTTCATTCCAGCACAACACATAGACAACATCAACTTCATTATGTGTAGTAGTGACTATACCCTACATGACCAAAATACTCTAGCTATATACTTGTCCAAACTTCCTACCACTACAGATATCAATACTAGAACTCAACACACAACTCAGGATATAAATAACCATAATTTAAACCTAGAAGATGATTGATCACGTTGACCCTGATCTAAACCTCCATAATCTGACACCCAATCAAAACCTATTGGAAAGTAACTGCCTTTATTACACAGCATCACAAGCCACCACTATCCTAAACAATGCTAAAAGTCTATCAGTACTTAACTACAACATCAGGTCCTTAAGTAAACACTATGATGACCTCCTAGCACTCCTTGAATCACTAAAGACACCCTTCTCCTGCATTATCTTACTGAGACCTGGCTTAAGCAGGACACAATAGATATCTACCCTCTACCAGGATACACAGCAATTCACAACTGCAGACCAAACCAAGTTGGGGGTGGTATTGCAATCTATTACTCTAACCAATTATCTTGTCTTAGCACCACTTGCTCTAGTGATGAATATGGGGAATACATTTTTGCTAATTTTTACTGTAAAAAACCTTAAGACGCCTATAACAATCGGTGCCATTTACCGGATACCTCACACAAACATCCCAAATTTCAGTGAGAAATTAAAGTCACTAATAACAAACAGACAAATGAATAAGCACCACCTTCTCTTAGCTGGAGACTTCAACATCAACCTTGGCTTACTAGATGATCAGCCTGTAACTGATTTCATCAACAATATGAACAACACACTTCTCATACCAACAATAACTAAACCAACCAGGCTCACTGAGACAAGTGCAACCATAATAGACCACATATGGACCAATATACTAGCCCCCCCTTAAATCAGGGATAATCACAGATAGCACTACAGACCACTACCCTACCTTCCTCCTGACAAACATTAGTAAACCACCACTTGAATACAACAAAGTCTCATTTAGACTCCATGATGAGGCCTCAGTAAGGAAGTTCACAGCTGACCTAGGCCAATGGTATTGATGACTGGACAGACATTTTTCTTAACAAATTACTTAGACTATACAACAAACATTGTCCTATAAAAACAAAACAGATCACAAACAAACGGCTTGGTTGCCCATGGCTAACCAGCACCATTCTGAAATCCATTGACAAGAAACACCAATATGAAAAACAATAAAGACAGGGCTTAATACACAAAGATACTCTTAAACACTATTCATCAGCTCTCACCAAAGTAATAAAAAAAGCCAAACAACTATACTACTCCAGTAGATTCACAGACACTAGAGGAGATATAAAAAAGACCTGGAAAACACTCTCTCAGATTCTAGGGACCCACAAACTGAGAAAAACCAAGAATATTGTCCTAACTAAACCTAATGAAACACCACTACATCCCACTGACACAGCTAACAAGATAAACGACTTCTTCTCAAACATAGGATCTAATCTCGCCAGTAAAATCCCACATACCAATGCCCATGCTGGGGACTACCTAGATGGGAATTTCCCTAATTCCTTCTATCTTGCACCAACTGAGCCCACGGAAGTCATTGAGATCATAAAGTCACTTAAAAATAACTTGGGGAATCTGTCTCATGTCCCACCATTACTGTACAAGCGAGCGGCCCATGTCCTTTCGCATGCTATTTCATTACTTTATAACAAGTCACTAGAGACTAGCACCTTCCCGAAACTACTCAAGATGGCAAGGGTTACACCAATACATAAAGGTGGTGACCCTACAGACTTAAACAACTATAGGCCAATATCTAACTTACCATTGCTATCCAAAATCTTTGAGAAACTCGTGCACAGGAGACTGTATTCATTTATAACGGCTCAAAACATACTCAACCCCTGCCAGTTTGGATTCAGGAAAAATAAAAGCACTAATGACGCAATCATAAAAATGCTAGATCTGCTTTACACAGCATTGGAAAATAAGGAATATCCACTAGGAATTTTTATTGACCTAAGAAAAGCTTTTGACACAGTAGACCACGACATCCTACTCCACAAACTTGATCACTACGGTATAAGAGGCCATGCGCTTGCTTATTTCAAATCTTACATTACTAATAGGTATCAGTACGTCACCATTAAAGACACAGCATCAGCAACACGGCCACTTGATACTGGAGTTCGCAGGGAAGTGTCCTTGGTCCCTGCTCTTCCTCATATACATCAATGACCTTCCAAACGTATCCCAACACCTGAAAACCTATTCTCTTTGCTGATGACAACGACTTACGTCATCTCTCACCCTAATCTTGCCACCCTCAACACCATTGTGAATGAGGAGCTGATTAAAATATCGACTTGGATGACAGCCAATAAACTTAGCTTAACACTGACAAACCTACTATATTATGTTTGGTAGCAGAGCAGGAGATGCACACATTAACATTAAGATTGACAACACTCTAATTACCAGAAATAATGGGGGAAAATTCCTAGGCTTATACCTTGACAACAACCTGAATTTCAGCACCCATATCCAGCATATAGCCAAAAAAGTATCCAAAATGGTTGGGATCCTCTCCAAGATACGATACTACGTGCCGCAAAATGCCCTTCTCACACTATACCACTCACTTATTTATCCATACCTCACCTATGCTATTTGTGCTTGGGGATCAACTGCAGCAACACACCTAAAGCCAATAATAACCCAACAAAAAGCTGCAGTAAGAATAATCACTAAATCCCATCCCTGGCAACACACCCCCAACTCTTCATAGATCTAAACTTGCTCCCAGTTCAGTACATCCACACTTACTACTGTGTAATCTATATCTACAGGGCCTTAAACTCTAATATCAACCTTGACCTAAAACGCTTTCTTGATAGTTTGACAGAACCCACAGGCATAACACCAGACACAAACATCTCTACGACATTCCCCGTGTCCAACTAAACCTTTACAAAAATTCAATGTATGTCAAAGGCCCTAAAATCTGGAATACCCTACCTGAGAACTCTAGAACTGCAGACACATTCATCACCTTCAAAACTACCATTAGAAAACATCTTATCTCCCTGATACACCCCGTCAACTAACTACACGAATACCACCTGGTGGTTCACACTTACACTCACTCACTCATTTGACCATAAACAGAAATATTAATCTCAGTCTTAAAATAATGAATCCTGTGATACTCCAATACTGAAACTATGTACTGTGCCAAAACAAAAGCATTCACATTGCTAAACTCACAAACTAGTATTTAGTCACTTAGCCATAATACCAACTTACATCATAATTTGTAATATTTTACAAATAAGAATAAAACTATGCCCGAAATGCCTAGCCATGCTAAGTGTTCTAGTGGTACACTCTGTAATCACAATTTTACTACATGTAGACCAAACAATAACCAAATTTCTGTAAACTCAGCATTGTAATCCTTATAGAGAATAAACTTTGAATTTGAATTTGAATTTGAGTATACCAGGAAAAGTATACGGTAGGGTTATAATTGAAAGAATTAGAGGTAAGACAGAATGTAGGATTGTGGAGGAGCAGGGAGGCTTCAGAGTGGGTAGGGGATGTGTAGATCAAGTGTTTACATTGAAGCATATATGTGAACAGTATTTAGATAAAGGTAGGGAAGTTCTTAATGCATTTATGGATTTAGAAAAGGCATATGATAGAGTGGATAGAGGGGCAATGTGGCAGATGTTGCAAGTATATGGAACAGGTGGTAAGTTACTAAATGCTGTAAAGAGCTTTTATGAGGATAGTGAGGCTCAGGTTAGGGTATGTAGAAGAGAGGGAGAATACTTCCCGGTAAAAGTAGGTCTTAGACAGGGATGTGTAATGTCACCATGGTTGTTTAATATATTTATAGATGGGGTTGTAAAAGAAGTAAATGCTAGGGTGTTTGGGAGAGGGGTGGGATTAAATTATGGGGAATCAAATTCAAAATGGGAACTGACACAGTTACTTTTTGCTGATGATACTTTGCTTATGGGAGATTCTAAAGAAAAATTGCAAAGGTTAGTGGATGAGTTTGAGAATGTGTGTAAAGGTAGAAAGTTGAAAGTGAACATAGAAAAGAGTAAGGTGATGAGGGTATCAAATGATTTAGATAAAGAAAAATTGGATATCAAATTGGGGAGGAGGAGTATGGAAGAAGTGAATGTTTTCAGATACTTCGGAGTTGACGTGTCGGCGGATGGGTTTATGAAGGATGAGGTTAATCATAGAATTGATGAGGGAAAAAAGGTGAGTGGTGCGTTGAGGTATATGTGGAGTCAAAAAACGTTATCTATGAAGGCAAAGAAGGGAATGTATGAAAGTATAGTGGTACCAACACTCTTATATGGATGTGAAGCTTGGGTGGTAAATGTAGCAGCGAGGAGACGGTTGGAGGCAGTAGAGATGTCCTGTCTAAGGGCAATGTGTGGTGTAAATATTATGCAGAAAATTCGGAGTGTGGAAATTAGGAGAAGGTGTGGAGTTAATAAAAGCATTAATCAGAGGGCAGAAGAGGGGTTGTTGAGGTGGTTTGGTCATTTAGAGAGAATGGATCAAAGTAGAATGACATGGAAAGCATATAAATCTATAGGGAAAGGAAGGAGGGGTAGGGGTCGTCCTCAAAAGGGTTGGAAAGAGGGGGTAAAGGAGGTTTTGTGGGCAAGGGGTTTGGACTTCCAGCAAGCGTGCATAAGCGTGTTAGATAGGAGTGGATGGAGACGAATGATACTTGGAACCTGACGATCTGTTGGAGTGTGAGCAGGGTAATATTTAGTGAAGGGATTCAGGGAAACCGGTTATTTTCATATAGTCGGACTTGAGTCCTGGAAATGGGAAGTACAATGCCTGCACTTTAAAGGAGGGGTTTGGGATATTGGCAGTTTGGAGGGATATGTTGTGTATCTTTATATGTGTATGCTTCTAGACTGTTGTATTCTGAGCACCTCTGCAAAAACAGTGATAATGTGTGAGTGTGGTGAAAGTGTTGAATGATGATGAAAGTATTTTCTTTTTGGGGATTTTCTTTCTTTTTTGGTCACCCTGCCTCGGTGGGAGACGACCGACTTGTTGAAAAAAAAAATATTATATTACAAAATATACAATATTTTTCATTGTTACCCATACAGTCTTCAAATGCATACAAATATAACTCATGAAATCGTAATAACATGACTGCAAACAAACCATGGACGGGGCGGGGATTGAAATTATGTTAAGTGAGTTGTAAAACTGCAGGCCAGTGTGTAAGCCACTCACCACGTGTTTACTCCCCACCCATTCCTAGTTTTTTATACAAATATAAATTATTTCCAGCAACCGCCCAGGGAGGTACTACCGTCCTGCCAAGTGAGTGTAAAAAGAAAGCCTGTAATTGTCTTACATGATGGTAGGATTGCTGGTGTCTTTTGTCTCTCTCATAAACATGCAAGATTTCAGGTACGTCTTGCTACTCCAACTTATACTTAGGTCACACTACACATACATGTACAAGCATATATATACACACCCCTCTGGGTTTTCTTCTATCTTCTTTCCAGTTTTTGTTCTTGTGTATTTCCTCTTATCTCCATGGGGAAGTGGAACAGAATTCTTCCTCTGTAAGCCATGCGTGTTGTAAGAGGCGACTAAAATGCCGGGAGCAAGGGGCTAGTAAACCCTTCTGTATAAATTAATAAATTTAAACCATACCCCCCGCCTTGGAGGGATAAGGCCAGTTTGTTGAAAAAAAAAGTTCAAATAAACAATATACATATGTACCGGGTACCTACCGGGCAAATGCATTAATGTCCATAGACATGATGTTAAACACTTTCTTGTCTTTGTTAGTGCCAAGTGTTTCAAATATGTCTTAGATGCTCGTACTGCTTCCTCCTTCAGGTTCAAGTATTTACTCAATATTATTTCAATCTTGATATTGATGCGCTGCAGTTTGGAAGAGTCAACACTGGTGAATAAAGAGAACAGGTATTGCAACACACCGACTGTCTTCCACTGAGGTAGGGTGACCCAAAAGAATAGATTTAACTTATGTAATCAACATTCACCCCCATCACATCTTTTGGAGTGCAGGCATGACATTTTCTACTTTCATATAAGAATCCCAGCTAATCTTTAGATGACTCAGTCCTAATGAGCAATGGTTGATAAGGTAAAAAAAATGTTATGTTCTCACCATTTTTATAACAAACTTGAGCCAATTTTATAGCTATATTGCAGCTAAAAAATAGTCAGTTCTTCAGATACTAATTACAATTACTCACCCACCAACGTAGGGTGACCTGACAAAAAAGAAAATGCTTTCACCATCACTAATTCTATCACTGCTGTCTTGCCAGAGGGGCATCAGCATCACGGTTCAGATGACCCTTTAAACCACAACACCCCCACTCATCCTTCAGAGTGCAGGCACTGTACTTCCCACCTCCAGGACTCAAGTCTGGCTAACCTGTTATCTAGAGTACCTTTATAAATGTTACCTTGCTTGCACTCCAACAGTATGTCAAATCGTAAAAACCTAAAAGAGAGGAAATACCTTCACAGTCACTCATTCAATAGCTGTCTTGCCAGAAAGTGTGCCCTCTGAACTGCAACATCCTCCCTTTTTCTTTTTTGAATACAAGAACTACTTTCACTACCATTATACTCTGAACAGCATCATTAGTTAAAAGAAATCAGTCTGCCTAGTTCCTCTTTTAATTTAACAAACAAGAGCATCGTTAACATGCAACAACACTGCACTAGCCAAGGACTCGAACCCATGCTGCTTTGGCCTGCCTCATGGTGGGCAAAAGCACATGACGCCCTTATCCACTGAACCACATGATCCTTAAGAGTAGGATAAGGGCGTCATGTGTTTTCGCCCACCACGAGGCAGGCCAAAGCATCATGGGTTCGAGTCCTTAGCATGCGTCTGGGGGGCTCCTTCCGGAAAAGGCATGCGGCTGGGGGGCTCCTTCCGGAAAACGGGGTGCAGCTGGAGGGCTCCTTCCGGTCTAGGGTCTCCTCTGAGTGGCTCCCTTTTCACACCTATGTGCTAATGACCTTTTTCACACCTAGGTGTTACTTCCGGTTTGACCTTGACCTCGCCCTCGAGACTACCTCACCCTTGACCCCCCCAACCAATACCCCCGCCCACGACCCCCCTTTGCGACCCCCCGTTGCACCGCGCGCCCGCCCGCGCACCCGCCCGCGCGCCCGCCCACGCGCCTGCCCCGCGCCCTTCGTGACCCCCCGCGCACACCCGCCAGCACACCCGCCCGCGCCCTTCGTGACCCCCAAACGCGCCTTCTGCTGCACCTTCTGCAGCATCGTCCGGATCGCCCCCGCGTCTCGAATTTTTTTTGAATTTCATTTTCTTGTGCTCTCCATCTCCTCGGATCAAATTTTTGAGGTTCCCCCCCTCACTTTCACCCCCATCCCAAAATTTCTCGAAATCAAAGTCTCCATCTCCTCGGATCAAGTTTTTTGGATCCCCCCTATGGGGTTTTCGAAATTCTCCATCTCCTTGGATCAAGGTTTTTTGGATTGTCCCTCCTTCCACCCCCACCCCCCAACCCCCCAAAATTTCTTAATATTACTAAGTTTTTGGATTCCCCCCTATGTGGTTTTCGAAATTCTCCAATTCCTCGGATCAAGTTTTTGGATTCCCCCTATGGGGTTTTCGAAATTCTCCATCTCCTTGGATCAAATTTTTAAGGTCCCCCCTCCCACTTTCACCCCCCAAACCCCAAAAATTTCTCGATAATACAAGTTTTGGATTCCTCCCTATGGGGGTTTCGAAATTCTTATGATCTCCTCGGATCAAGTTTTTTGGATTCCCCCCTCTGGGGTAAGTATTCAAATGAACTCCTCCTATGGTGCTCTCTCTTACTACAGGTCTAAACAAGTCAAATGACCTAAGAAGGGTGTTTACTCGGCGGTCAGTATTCCTCTCATTAAGTTAAATGAACTAAAAAGGACCACACGCACACAGGCTGAATCTTGTCGACCCTTTTAGTTCATTAAAGTTAATAAGGGGACATAGTACCTACAACATAGGGAAAACATTTTCACTCTTAACCCCAATTTTTTTCTCGTTTTAACCCTTTTAGTTCATTAAAGTTAATAAGGGGACATAGTACCTACATCATAGGGAAAACATTTTCACTCTTAACCCAAATTTTTCATCATCAGAAAGTCGCATTTTTTCGTTAATACCCACAATTTCTTTACAAAATACAACACAACATTATCACAAAAATCTAACTCAAATTTTTCTCGTTTTAACCCTTTTAGTTCATTAAAGTTAATAAGGGGACACAGTACATCAGAAAAAGTCACAAAAACTAACTCAAACACTTTTACTTTGAACATCACCAAAACACTCTCATAAATCATTTGAATACTCACATAAACACCTTTGAACACCTTCAAAACACTCTTGAACACCTTCAAAAACACCTTTGAACATTTTCAATCAACACCGAAACACTTCCAAAAAACACAATTTGAGTACTCCCAATTACACCACTGAATACTACTAAAACACCACTGAATTCAATCAAAACACCCTTCAACACCTTCAAACACCCTTGAACACCTTCAAAACACTCTTGAACACCTTCAAAAACACCTTTGAACATTTCCAATCAACACTGAAACACTTCCAAAAAACACAATTTGAGTACTCCCAATTACACCACTGAATACTACTAAAACACCACTGAATTCAATCAAAACACCCTTCAACACCTTCAAATACCCTTGAACACTTTCAAAACACTTTGAACACCTTCAAAAACACCTTTGAACATTTCCAATCAACACTGAAACACTTCCAAAAAACACAATTTGAGTACTCCCAATTACACCACTGAATACTACTAAAACACGCTGAATTCAATCAAAACACCCTTGATCACCTTCAAAAAACAACATTTGAACACACTCAAAACACCTTTGTACATTTCCAAAAACACTATTTGAGTACTCCCAAATAAGATTTGACATCTCTAATTTATCTGCACTTACACATTTCATTAAATTACAACTCGTCCCTCAGTCTCCAGACTAGGCATTTTCTCGTTTTTACCCTTTTAGTTCATTAAAGTTATTAAGGGGACACAATACATCAGAAAAAAAGTCACAAAAACTAACTCAAACACTTTACTTTGAACATCCCCAAAACACTCTCATAATCATTTGAATACTCACATAAACACCCTTGAACACCTTCAAAACACCTTTGAATATCGTTCTTAAACTTATTTCATCACAACCCACTTATATCATCTTTTTTTTCGGTAACTCTAATTCGACTACACTACCCTCATCAATTACCAACAAATTTTACTCGTTTTAACTAATGTCATCACTGTAACCAAGATTTTCACAAAAAAAAAACTCTATGACACCTAACACACATGCACACACACACACCCCACAACACCCACAACACCCACAACCCACAATTTTTTTTTCTCGTTTTAACCCTTTTAGTTCATTAAAGTTAATAAGGGGACACAGTACATCAGAAAAGTCACAACAACAACAACCCACAACCCACAACACCCACAACCCAAAATTTTTTCTCGTTTTAGCTAATTTCATCAGAAAGTCACAACAACAACCCTTATTAACTGTGTCCCCTTATTAACTTTAATGAACTAAAAGGGTTAAAACAAGAAAAATTTGAGTTAGATTTTTGTGATAATGTTGTTGTATTTTGTAAAGAAATTGTGGGTATTAACGAAAAAATGCGACTTTCTGATGATGAAAAATTTGGGTTAAGAGTGAAAATGTTTTCCCTATGATGTAGGTACTATGTCCCCTTATTAACTTTAATGAACTAAAAGGGTTAAAACGAGAAAAAAATTGGGGTTAAGAGTGAAAATGTTTTCCCTATGTTGTAGGTACTATGTCCCCTTATTAACTTTAATGAACTAAAAGGGTCGACAAGATTCAGCCTGTGTGCGCGTGGTCCTTTTTAGTTCATTTAACTTAATGAGAGGAATACTGACCGCCGAGTAAACACCCTTCTTAGGTCATTTGACTTGTTTAGACCTGTAGTAAGAGAGAGCACCATAGGAGGAGTTCATTTGAATACTTACCCCAGAGGGGGGAATCCAAAAAACTTGATCCGAGGAGATCATAAGAATTTCGAAACCCCCATAGGGGGGAATCCAAAACTTGTATTATCGAGAAATTTTGGGGTTGGGGGATGAAGGTGGGAGGGGGGGACCTTAAAAATTTGATCCAAGGAGATGGAGAATTTCGAAAACCCCATAGGGGGAATCCAAAAACTTGATTCGAGGAATTGGAGAATTTCGAAAACCCCATAGGGGGGAATCCAAAAACTTGTTAATATTGAGAAATTTTTGGGAGTTGGGGGGTGGGGGTGGAAGGAGGGACAATCCAAAAAACCTTGATCCAAGGAGATGGAGAATTTCGAAAACCCCATAAGGGGGATCCAAAAAACTTGATCCGAGGAGATGGAGACTTTGATTTCGAGAAATTTTGGGATGGGGGTGAAAGTGAGAGGGGGAACCTCAAAAATTTGATCCGAGGAGATGGAGAGCACAAGAAAATGAAATTAAAAGAAAATTCGAAAAAAATCGGAAAAAAATTCGAGACGCGGGGGCGATCCGGACGACGCTGCAGAAGGCGCAGCAGAAGGCGTGGGCGGGGGTCGCGAAGGGCGCGGGCGGGCGCGCGCGGGGGGGTCGCGAAGGGCGCGGGGCGAGCACGCGGGCGTGCGGGCGCGCGGCGCGACGGGGGGTCGCGAAGGGGGGTCGTGGGCGGGGGTATTGGTTGGGGGGGTCAAGGGTGAGGTAGTCTCGAGGGGGAGGTCAAGGTCAAACCGGAAGTAACACCTAGGTGTGAAAAAGGTCATTAGCACATAGGTGTGAAAAGGGAGCCACTCAGAGGAGACCCTAGACCGGAAGGAGCCCTGCAGCCGCCCCCGTT